CACCTGCCTCTCCGGGGCCTCGACCTCGAAGGCCCGGCGGGCGAAGCCGAGGCCGCCGAGCGGGTGGTCGGATGCGCCCGCGGGGATGTAGTAGGGCTTGCCGCCGCTGGACTCAATGTCGGCGGTGAGCTTGGCCAGCGTGGTCTTGTGCTCGATGCCAAAGGTGGACGGGTCGAGGCGCACGTCGGCGCCCATCAGGCGCGAGAGCTGGATGTTGCCTACCTTTTCGTAGCCGGCGTCTTGCCAGTCGACCCAGTGCTCCTGGACGGTGGCGGCCCTGAGGCCGAGCTTGGCGGCTGCTGCTGATACCTGGCGGGTGTGGTTTGACTGCACGCCTCCGATGGACACGAGGGTATCGCAGCCTTGTGCCAGGGCTTCTGACGCGAGATATCTGGGGGTTTTCGGCGTGAGTCTCACGTCCTCGGGATGGTGGTGATGGCGTGAACGGCAGCTGGGGGGGGAACAGATGGGGAGGCAACGGAGGGAGCATACTCGAGTTTACGGGTCTTGTTTCCGCCGTATGCGAGACCAGAGTTGCAGTCCTCTCTTTTGACGTAGATGTTGACTTTTCCTCCGAGCGCCTTGGACATGCGTGGCAGGTGCTGGATGGGCGAGGGACCGAAGAGAAATGACTCTCGGGGTATGCCGGCAAAGGGCTCGGGCAGGGTGACGGTGGCCATGATGTGTTTTTGATTTTGCAAACAGATTACAGAACTGATTGGAAGCAATGTTGTTACTGTTTCTCGGTGTAGTCTCTTCAATGTTTGATTTATACTTGACATGTATGGTTTGACAGTTTGGACAACTCGGGCCATCGCGGCCCAAGTCCGCCGCGGTGGGGCGCTGCTGTCCGCCGAAGGCGCAACTTGGCGTCGTTGCATGGCTGCGAATATGTGCCCCCCTTTTCCCATCTTCACATGTATGCATTGTGCGTCCGCTCAGTACACGCCGGGCAAGATGCGCCACTTGACCTGCTTCTTGTACCTCTCCCAGTCCTCGCCATACTTCTCGCCGCACGCCGCATCATCCCGGCCCTCACGATGGATAAGCAACATGGCAAAGTACAGCGCGTACAAGTACGTGTAAACCATTCCCCATCCCCGAGCACCCTCCTGCCTCACCTCTCGGCCATCCGCCATGGCGAAGCCTCCCGCGCTGGCGTTGGCCACGGCACTTCCAGCGGGCAACATGACGTAGCCAGCAATGCCCGTAGGTAGGGTGAATGGAGAGGCTTGCAACCAGTCGCCAAAGTAGTTGATGTGACGGGCCATGCCCCACCAGCCAGACGTGAGAAGTCGAGTGCCGCGCCTGGTTTGTATGTACGACATGCGGCCAACTCTCGGGTCGTCTGGGGACTGTCGAAAGAGGGCCTTTTGGTTGTTGGCCGAGCGGAAGATGAAGAAGCCAATGGCGAAGGCTACGCCCACTGCCGCGATTCCCGCCGAGCTCAGATGGACCGGGTGAATGGACAGGTACCGGCATTGCGTCGAGTACAAGAAGGGGACCCAGGCGATGTCTCCAAAGGTGAGCATGAATCCCAGCCCATCAGTGGTTATGTCCATCATGCCTAGCAGAGCCGTCTCGGCATACTGCCCCTCAAGGACATAATATATCTGCACCGCCGTGATGAATAGAATGCTGTTGGAAAGGAATCCGTAGTTGCGGTACTGTTTCGCAACAAAGGCAAGGTCGAGAAGAGCCCATCCCGTCAGGCCAGGTCGCATTTCAAGCCAGGCCTTCAAGTCAATCTCGCCAAAGAATGGGAGGGTGACGCGAGGATTCAGTTCGCGGCCAATGTAGAAGTCGTAGATTACATTTCCAGTGTGGCCCCCTCGAGATAGTTCTCGCAGATCCTTGTTGCCAGGCTTGACGGAAAAGCTCTTGATGTACACGAAAGCCGAGATGGCGTACGCAAGGACGAGGCTGGCCGTCAGCAACTGCAGGTAGTTGCTGTCGATAAAAGTCCAGACGGCAAAGTCTGCGCCGTAAATGTAGGTCCCCACGGCACATGCGGCCAGCTGCACCACCGTAGACGAGAATGCTAACCCGGCCCATTGAATCAGTACGGGCTCTTGTGACCGGAGTTCTGCTGTCTCGCAAAATCTGCAAACGTACCGTTGAACCGATATTTCAGGGGTCGACCCGACTCTCTCAACTTGGTGCCGTATACCTCAGTGGCCGGGAGCACGCGGTAGAGGAGCAAACTGAGAAGATAGTAGCCCAGCATCCAGCCGGTTGCTTTCCAGCTTGCAACCGGCGAGGCCATTTTCCGGCCACGGAATCTGGGATTTGAGCACCTCCCATGAGAGAGTTCGCGGGCTTAATAGTGCGGGTGCAGGACAGCCAGTCATGTCATTGCAAGTGAAGAAGAACGCATACAGCAGAGCCGGCAGACCAAAAGCGATGGCAGTGGCACCTAATCTGGATTCAAAAGTTGACCGTGGTTAGATTCGTCTCAAACAGGGGGGCAGAATAGGAGAAGGGGTGAATCGTACGGGCCGCCAAATTCGTACTTTGGCTTTACTGGCGCAGATTTAGCCATGGCTCTGCAGAAGATTCAAAATTGCAGTGAATCAAATAAGTTTTTTTGAGAAAGAAAAAAGGCAGAGTCCAGCCATCCGGATTCGGACCCACGCCGACGTTCCTCACCCCATCCGGAATCCGGGAACCCGACGGGGCCGGGCGGTTAAGACCAAGAAGGTCAAGTGTAAGAACGAATACCCATGGACACCCTTGGGTACCCGGTGAAAGTTGCGGATATCCACGGGCACCCGTAAATGCAAATAGATGTAAAGAAAAAAAAATGAAACCCGTAGGTACCTATAAACTTAAATAGGTAAGAATAGGTACTTATTTAAGCCGAAGGATTTATTAAGAAGTCAAGGTCTAGTCAAGTTAATGATTCTCAGTGTCGCCGCCCAGAAGACCCCATTTTTTCCCTTGCCAGCTCTGCCAGCCCCAAGAGGTGGCGGTAAATAAAATGATAGTAGGTCGCTGTAATGAGTACTCATCCGATAACAGCTCCCAGGCCAATTTAGTCATATCTTACGGGTTAACCCTGACTCTTAACCTTAACCCTAACCGCTAAACTCTGTGGGGCTAGTATCAGGTGAGCACCCTAAGACCCAAACACTCCCCCCCACCTCCCCAACTCCAACCAGACTTACTGTGATTGATACAAAAAGAAGTAAGAAATCTTCACTACAGGGGCAGATGCCACGACAAGTGCAAAACATAGAAGCCGAAAACTACCTAGCTACCTAGGTAATTAAAAACATGCGGTCACGGTGGCAGTTAGCGCCAAGTTGACGTTCTGATTGGTGCAAATAATTACTAGTCATCCAAAGCGAGAAGACATCTGCATTTTTCATCAACTCTGCCATATCAATGCATGGGAACTTGCGTTGTTTTTCGAGTGCCAGATTAATGTTGTCTTGTGAACACAGGCCAATGGATTGCGGATTGCCCCATCCCTCAGGGCAATAGCCTGGAGAAGGCCGAGCTTGTTCTCGCCGGGAGGAACAAGGAAATGTTCCTGAATTTTATAAAGGGGATGCTAACGTGGCGGCCGGAGGACCGCAAAACTCCAAAACAGCTGCTCGACGACTCTTGGCTAAAATCTTGGGAGATGTCCGATTAGAGGTTCGGGAAGGAGCCAGAAAAAAAAATCACACAATGAAGAAATCAAAGCTTGAAAGATATCAGGAAAGCTGATTTGGGTGACATAACTGCCAAAGGCTTGAAAGTCATCGTGTGTGGGCTTCCAGAGGCTCTTGACGTGATTAAGCCGTCCTGCCAGCGTAGACCATAGACGTCTGGTGGCATACACTTTCTGCCAATCTACAGACCAGGCCGGCTGGCCTAAATCATGGAGTTCAGTAGACATTTAGAATCTTTTTTCCGATAAGGGGTCTGGCGTCCAGAAGGGATGCAATGGTTGGGCGACGCGTGTCTCTCGGAAGCGGCTTGCGACTTGTGAATGACATTTCACGATTGATCGAGTCACCGGAAGGCGACCATGAAGAATAATGTACAAATAATGTGGTTTAGCTTTAGGCGGCAACTTTAATTTTTATTTTATTTTTTACCTTTACTAAGGCTGGAATACTTATAACGTAAGTGTGGCAAGCTACCTAAACATCAATGCAGTAATGAATGGGTCATAACTAACTTCATGTAGAATTAAACAAAACCCTTGATTGGACAGGTCATATCTTAAGAAATAATCTCTTTATTTTGCCGTTTCAAAATACATCATCTCCAGTCTGTGGCTGCAGAAACATTCGCTCTGTACCATGTCTGCCGTTGCGATGGATGTGGCAACCGAGCCCATACAAGCCGAGCCGCCATCATCAATCGCCAAGACCTCTTCATAGGCCTCACTGCCAGTTGAAGTACGCCAAATGACACTGAGCATGGTGGGCTTGCCCATCTATAGGAGGCGATACAACGGCCTGGGCTATCCAAAGGCGGCTCGGTTCGCTACGGTGTGCCGGGAATGGCGGGTCTTCTTTGAGACTTGTACATTTCGGCGCCGTGTACTTGATCCCGACTTTCTCGGCGAGTTTGAAGCAATTGTCAGACGACATGACACTCGTTTAGGGTGTATCCGAAAACTCTGGCTTCGGGTTCAGCTCTCAAAGTACGAGTGTCCCGATTATGATGAACCAGAGGATGAGTGTACTTTGGTGCTAGTCAACACTTGCAACGACAACATGATATTCACAACGTGTATTCGGTCCCAACTGGGAACTCTCAAACTCTGGGATCCCGTGAGGCATGGGGCAGAACGACTGGCACTGACGTTGTCTGCCTCCTCGCCCAGCGATACAGAGCATCGGCTTAACCGATGCGAAATCAAGGACGGTTATCCATTTTACTACGCCAAAGACAGATCTTGCACCAGGCATGGTTGATCTCCATCGGACTAACATTGCGGATCCGTTCAGCCCTTATTTTCATCGCGGCCGCCCTCCGCCGTTGCACAGTGAGCATGTCAATAGGGTGCAGGGAACTCCGCTCCGTTTGAACTACGAAGAGATAAGCGAGGCCGCTTTATCAGTGAATGCAAGAGTCTTCCTGCCGTGCCCATAGTCAAAGGACTGGTCATGCACGGACAGCTTCGCAGGGATATTCACGTAAGGACACTGTCTTGACTACTTGGTCGAAGCTTTGTGGCATTGGAGTGGTACCACTTCGAGAGGACTGTTTTCCCGAAGCCTCATAAGCAAATTTCCTTTGATCAAGGTATAAAAACGCTGACCAGCCTTTACGGCGAGTATTTGGTGAAGCTAACGCCCCTTTCTCAGGCTTCCAACTGCACTTACTGCCCTCCCTGCCGAAAACATTGCGCCGACTCTCCTTCAAGCAGTGGGAAATCCCCAAGACTGATCGCCGCTATGAATTCGAAGTAGGATCTGAATTTCCTCCACATGCTCAAGCTTATCTGCCTCGGGGGATGGCACAAGTTTTCTTCAAGACTAGAGCATTTCTGCCCGCCATGGCAGATGGACACAGCTGCCTGCTTTGGTCCGTCGTCAAACTGAGGGAATCACCTGAGATGCTTGAAAGCTCCCTAAAACGGATAATCCTGCGTTGTCTGCTCCCAAGCTCAGACCGAAGCAGACAAAATTTCGAATCGCTGGTAATCCTCGCAGCCAAAGCGGCTCTGTCGCTTGCCCAACTGAAAGTCATGGAGCTATGGGGTACCTGACTTGACGGAGAGGAAAGCCGGGCATACATCTTTCGGTACAGCTGTGAAGACGGTCGAGCCAGTATCGTCTGGAGGAGCTGTGAAGAGACAATGGTGGCTCAGGCGTGGATTGTCGCCAAGCGGACCGAGGTAGCCCAGAAACACTCGCATTCGACTCTCGCGTACAACCTTGTCCCCTTTGCGGAGACCAAGGCAGAAATTTCCAGGTCTGATGGAACCTACGTATATCGACATCTACTGCTCAGACTTAGTGTTTGATCCAATTACGCGGATCATCCTGGAAAACGAGCCTTATCGATGGCGCGACTCATCGCAGTAAGCTCATGCTCTGGATTGAAATCTCGCAAATCTAAATTCGTTGGGCGGCCATCTATTGATGGATATCCTTGGACCGGATGCCGACCTCACATCACTGCAGGCGGATCTCATTGCTTGGGATGCCGAAGTCAATGCCTTTCTCCGGGAGCATTATGGGTAGCACAGCGTGACGATATATCCGGAGAAACCTATGGAGGAGCAGTGGCTCTATGAACCCCCCCCCAACAGGTCAGGGTAGAGGTTATCGTTTGACATGAAATAATAACGTAGCGCCAGTCTTAGTTCCTGGTGGCGCATGTCTGTCGCCTTACTTTAGGCATTGGTCTTTAGAGGATATGGGATCCAGAGAGTTCTTTGGACCCCGGAGACGCGGGTAGGCAGGACCAACAGGTTCACTTGAACCATCTAGATCAGGGATGCAAACTTGGTGCAGCAGATGGTGGAGTTTTAAGAGAGCAGAGTAGGTAGCCAGGAGAATCGGCCACATGATTCAAATAGGACCAGACATTTACTCCTACTTTAGTGCAGTAGGCTCCAATACTAATACTATTGTCAAGGATACAAGTATTTGCCTTCCTGCTATGGTCTTTCCGTTGTCGACGTCCGGGGAGGGTCAATGCATGCTCGCAATATGTTTACCCACCCGTGGACTAATCAAGACGTCTTGTACCCAGTCTATGATTGGCAGCCTGTCGGCTGGATATTCTTGGATCGGAAAGCCATCTCCGTCACTGATCCTTTATCCCCAGTACCGCAGAACGATCCACATGTTGTGCATGGCCAAGAAACCGGCCGAGCAATCGGGATATCACCGCTCTTGGCTGGGCCACGCATTCCTAGTCAATTGCCCGTATAAGGGACGAAGGAAGGAAAAAAAACTTTTAAATGAGTGGGACAGAATCTGCCTTGCCCAAAGTCATGTCTTTTGTGTGTGTATGCTGGTTCTGCGGCTCGACAGGATCGAAAACTTGCCACAGTAGACGCCGATGGTATGACTGCTTGGATCGGGTAATGTGCCAAACATCATTTGTCACTTGGAGCAATCACGAGTGAGAAAGTAAGCTACATAATCGCAACACCTACCCTACCCGCAAAGCGTAAAATTGGGTACGGGGGATCTCGTCCATTCACCATGATCACGTCTCTGACGTCGGTGTGGGTTGAAATGGGCCGAAACGAAACGGCCAAGGGTGGCAATGCTGGTCTCGCCACTACAAGGGTCCTGTTGAAGCTTCTCGGTCTGTTTCCGGGATATTCGCGCCTTGGTCTTTACCCGAGTCAATGTTTTCAGCCGGATCAGATAAGGTTACAGCGAGAAACAGCCCCCTCCCTTGCATGGTCTAAGACGGTCCGGCCGCCTCGCGATGCCATTGGCGAGTTCTCACGAGTCACGAGCTGGTTGGGCTGCAACCCCTGCCCATGAGGCATTTACGGTGCGAGGCAAAATTGAACCAGATCGGGTACCTGGCTATCGCGGTTTACGGTATACTGTAGTATATTAGTATGGATATATCAGTGCATACTTTTTGTTATACGGAATACCGTCACCGTCATATATATATTGCAATACAGTCTCTATTAGAGGGAGGCCTCCACCTTTGGCAGATTTGTTCAACACCTTTAAATGGGCAAGTATATTCTGCCACAGACTGTAGACGGGTCTGGACGCCTTTCGTTCAAGTCTGGTTAAGCTTATATACATGCTTGGCGGCAAATGTAGGTAGGGCCAATCCCGGGTGCCGCAACGACATGGAGCAATAAGCTACCCACGCCCAACGCCGCCAAGACATTCTCGGCCATGGTTCTTGGGCTTCACACCCAGGTTCAAGGTCGCATGGGGCGGTCCGGACCAGCCATTGTCTTGGCCTCGGAAACAAATGAAGAAAAAGGGAAATCCTTGACGGCGGGAGGAGAGATTTTCTGCTGCGGGCTTTTGCCACGCGACAGAGGGGCCAGTCATGGGGGGCGGCCGTGAAGAAGACTTGAAATATGTCGATGCCGCCTCGCATGTAGTTCGTGAACGACGACAAGCGCCCTTTCCTGCACCGTCGAAACCGGCACCATGTTCTTTCTGCCCAAGATCCTTGCTCGTGCCGACGACGAGCCGCCCGTGTCCGGAGCGGCATTTGCGTCCGCCAACGAGAAGAATGTTGCCGACACTAACAATGCGACGACCGTGGCAAAGACGGATTCAAGCCGTGATGATTCCTCCGCCGAGGCCCAGGCTGGTGTTTTGGAGATGGAGGCAATCTCCAAAGTATGGAGCAGAAACCACGTCGTCATAGCATACGTCTTGTTAGTATACTCACACAAAAGTGCGCGGCGCAAAACTGCAAGTAGCTGACGCCGCCGTCACAGCATCTGGATCATCTACTTCGTGGACTCGATGCACTCCAGCATGTCCTTCACGCTCACGGCCTACGTCACCAGCTCATTTCGACAGCACGGACTCACGGCCACCACAAACGTCTTTGCAAACTTGATCGGAGGTCTCTTCCGGCTGCCGCTGGCCAAGATCCTCGACATCTGGGGTCGGCCGCAGGGCTTCGCGTTAGTCGTCTTGTTCTTGGTCATCGGCCTGGTCATGATGGCCGCCTGCCAAAATGTCGAGACCTATGCCGCGGCACAGGTCTTTTACTGGATCGGGTGCGTTCTGTTCTGTTGCTCACCTGGCCGGTGCCGCTACTACGTTTCCAAAAAAACAAAGGGCAAACAAGCTAATCCAGGCATTGCCAGGTTCAACGGCATCGCGTACACGCTGCAGGTCTTCATTGCCGACACCTCGGAACTGAAGAACCGAGCCTTCTTCTTCGCCTTGACGACGTCGCCGTTTCTCATCACGACGTGGGCCAGTGGCCCGGCAGCCAGTAGCTTCCTCACCGGCGCCGGCTGGAGATGGGCCTTTGGGACCTTTTGCATCGTCGTCCCGGTGGTGTGCTCCCCCATTCTCGTGCTCTTCCTGTACAACCACTTCAAGGCCAAGAAGTTGGGTGCCTTGCCGCCGAGACGGCCCTCTGGACGGACGCCCTTGGAAAGTGTAAGGCACTACCTGATTCAGTTTGACGTTGTCGGGCTGCTTTTGGCCGCGGCCGGTATGGCGCTGTTCCTGCTGCCGTTCAACATCTACCAGTTCCAGGCTGAGCAGTGGGGGTCCCCCATGATCATTGCCATGATTGTCGTTGGCGTGGTTCTTCTCGTTGTCTTTGCCCTCTATGAGAAGTACGTGGCGCCAGTGCAGTTCATCCCTTACCAGCTGCTGGTGGACAGGACCGTCATGGGCGCGTGCGTCTTGGGCGCCATTGGCTTCATCAGCTTTTACATCTGGAACGGCTTCTTCTCGTCGTTTCTCCAGGTGGTTGTTGGCCTGACGGTGACGGAGGCGACATACGTCGGACGAACCTACAACATGGGAAGCTGCTTCTGGGCCCTCGTTGTCGGCGTCATTGTTCGGTGGAGCGGCCGGTTCAAGTGGCTGGCATTTTATTTTGGCGTGCCGCTGATGATACTGGGAATCGCCCTCATGATTCAGTTTCGCCAGCCTGGCGTCGACGTTGGCTACGTCGTCATGTGCCAGGTCTTGATCGCCGTGGCTGGCGGCACTCTTGTTATTTGCGAGCAAATGGCCGTCATGGCTGCTGTCTCTCACCAGAACGTTGCTGTTGCGCTGGCAATGCTGTCCATGTTTACCAGCATCGGGGGAGCTATCGGGTCCAGCGTCTCTGGAGCCATCTGGAATGGCATCTTTCCCAGCAAGGTGGCCGAGTATCTGCCTCCGGATACGAAAGACCAAGCGGCCCTCATTGTTGGGAATTTGTCCAAGCAGCTTGAGTATCCCTGGGGGAGCCCGGCACGTGAGGCTATCATGGCTGCGTATGGGGATGCTCAGAGGGTTATGCTGAGTTCGGCAACTGCCTTTGTGTGCTTGAGTATAGTTGCCGTGGCGGTATGGCGCGATATCAAGGTCAAAGACTTCAACAAGGTGAAGCAAACCGACGCATAACCGGAGATGGCGACTTCGACTTCCAACCATGTTGAACAAGTCCATATCATGCAGATCACGTCTTACACTTGGATATCGCAGCTTCATGTCAATTTTATCACGAGGAATAACGCATTCTTAACGAAATCAGTAGTTTAATAATAGCAGCTCGCATCGCTAGAGAAGTCCATCTCGCAGCCTCCCTTGAGTTTCCAAGAATTCTCAGTGAGCGGTTCTCCTGCATGATGCCAGTACCGGAGGCTCAAGTGACCTGCTAACAACAAATTGTAACTCTTCAACATTACTACCCCCTAAACTACATTCTCCGAGCCATGAATGGTACCCTTGATTACCACCGGCTTGGCTGTGGTGAAGTTGGGAATGTCGCCAAAGACAGTTTCGGAGTTCTTTCCCGTCGATGCAGCCTCCCACGCAGCCAGCGATTCAAACTTCAAGATGGCTTGTATCTGATAAATCTGGCCTGGAGCGAACTGAGTAATCTCCCAGCTTTTCAGGCCCTCTCCTTTCCAGGAACTGTATATGTAAAACAAATGGTGAGTTCCAGACCCCGCGAGCGATGGTGGAAACAGATGCGGATAACCGAGGTTACAAGCGCTTGCTCGGTGTATGTTGTAACAAAGAGGACCTGTCACTTACGCAGACACTAGGGGCATGTGGGTTTGCAGATAATACTTGATGTCGAAGTCGTGCCCCGACGGGTACAAGATGGTGATGGAAGCCATTGGTTATGTATTGGCGTGGGTAACGACGAAGCGGTAAAGATGTTGACGAAGCTATCGTGTTGTGTGAGTCGTTCGAACCTGCAGATATGGGCTGAGAACCCAATCTAATGGATTTGATAAGTTACATGTATGTCCCTTGGCTCCGTCTCTGACATAATGCTGCAGAAACAGTCCAGTCGCATACTAGTAAGTTACTGGAGCGGGATCTTACCCCGCTCTTCGGTATCGATAATAACATCATTGATTTGAAGTGTCGCGCGGGAAATGAGGGGGTATAACACACCAGACAAAATACTGTGATTTTTGGTGCGAAAATAAGAATAACTACCATCGGTTCATCAAGCCGTTCGTATTGTTAGAGCAAGTGTCTTTCTGTTAGCTGACCATCTTTGTATAGAATCGTGCTCTAAATCGAGCAATTAGTGGTGCCTAATTTCGCTCCTGGGCATACAAATCGTGGCGGTACGACACTGTGTGAGCCCTCTCGTCGGTTTATGGCTGAAGCATGGACATCAGCACGCCTCAGCTCACCGTGTTACTCGCGCACTTAGGAAACAAACGGGCACCACTCAAATGGTGCAAATGTAGATACTACCCGGTACGTCCCTTGCCACCCTTCCAAGTTACTAGACTGTATATAAATAATCCGGCGCCGTTTTTTCGCATAACTCCAGTATCCTGGGCGGAGCATTTCATTTCACACCTGTCACGGCCAAGCCCCAGGAATGAGATCCCTGCACCTCCACCACGGAGTGCGTTGCGCTCTTTCAATGCCTGACGGTCCCCGTAAATGCACAAGTATTCGCAAAAGGATGTATAATTAGTTACTATCTGCGAAAAAATGTCAATAGACAAGAACCTACAAGAAACGACCTGGGAATCAACCTTCTCCGCGCCTGCTCAGCCCCTCTGCAAGTTGAAAGCTGAGAGACTTCGTGTACCGCCCACTGAAAGCTGAAATGATTTGGCTATGCAGAGTAACCAATATTGAAAGATACGTTTGGAGTACAGATTGGGACGCGGGGCCCATCGTCATCGACGTGAGTTGGACAATTAGATAATAAAGGCGAGTGAGACGCTGGGTTTGTCCGTGTCGCACAAACGAGAGGTATTGGAGCCCAGGGCCGATTACGGGCGGTAAGATGAATTTCGCGCCTTCTTTTCTCTGGGCTGGGTGGCTAATTTCTTGCGGGCGAAAAGAATTGCAATTTTAACGCCCGGCTGTGACGCAGCAGCGACAGAAATTTGGTCCATTAGTTTTGCACAGTACCTGACACATCATAATTATATTACCCAACCTTACAGCGTGTTGTGCACTGGTATCCAACCCGTTTCAATGTATCCTGCATATTCCCTCCTGCTCTTTTTCAACTCTATGCTTTTTTATATGAGGCCTTTGTCACAGAAACTACAATATTTCTTCACACAGCGCCCTATAGCATTTGAAACATGGCCATGAGGGCCAATGGTAAGGCAACGTAGAGACCCTTGCTGGCCACCTCCAAACCAGCGGCGGCTCCAGGAGAGGCAATCGTTGAGGGAGCAGCACCACCGGAGGAGGTGGGAGAGCCCGTGGGCCTAGCAGTCGTAGCAGTCGAATTGCCGCCAGTAGGGGCAGAAGCGCCAGTGGGAGTAGAAGTACCGGTAGGGACGCTGGTCGAGTTGCCGCCACTCTTGCCCTTGTACTTGTCAACGATAAACTGGATGATTTTGGGGCCGTGAGTGCTAAAGTACTGGCCATGTACAGCCTTGTCTTCTCCTAAATCGCAGTATACATCGCCGGTGTCGCACCAAGACGCGATTTTGCTGGCATATTTCTCGCAACTGGCGCTGTTTTTGCGGGGAAAGAGCTAATTATGGCTTGTTAGAGCACTGTCTCGCGCGCAGCTCCTCTCCAGAAACCGCAATAGAAGTTGGGCATTGCAAATATGTAACTCACGCCGTCCTTTTTGCTACTGCCTCTATCATAAGAGACATTGGCAATGTGGGTTGGGTCACCGAACAGAGCAACAGCGACAACTATCAAAGTCCAACAATTAGCTATTGGCTACACCAGGAGTGCTGGATTGACTCACCATTATCAACGGCACTAGAAGATATAGCATCGGTGGTCGTAAATCCCGTCTCGTCGGTTCCGCACAGCGTATCCAAGGAGACCTGGGCACCCTGGGAGTACCCAAGAATGGCGACCTTGCCATCGGGGCAGCTCTTGTGGTAGTCCTCGAGGAGCTCAGTCATGTTCTTGGTGCCATTGCCGACGGAGTAAGGGTATGATGGACTCGCCAGAGTCGCTGGGTATTGGAGGCCGACTACCTTGCTGCCCTTGACCTGCTCGGCAACCTTCTTCCCAATCAAGGTGCCAGCAACACCAATACCTTGCTCCTCACCAGTACCACGGACACTGATGATGTAGAGACCTTCGGCGCAACCCTTAGGATCATCGCCAGCATCGGTGGCTGGGATTGTTGCGCGGGCAGCGAGCAGGGCGACAGGGGCGAGAATGTGCTTCATCGTGAATGAGCTGGAAAAGGAATTGTTGATGATTTGTGGTGAGACCTTGGATAGTATTGGCCAACCTTGGTATTGTATCGCAGTAACTCTGCCCTCAATTCACTTGGGAGTTCAATTAGTCGACGGAATGAACGAGCGAGTCGAAGGAGGGAGAGGAAGTGAAGGAGGAGAGAGAACAGGTAATAAAGGGAGTGGACCTGGTCCTAAAAGGACTTGAAGGAATATGAGAGCTTCATGGCCGGCCAGGATGAGCGACGTAAGCTGGGCATGCCGGGAAGCGTAGCAACTCGTTTCAAGCCTGAGCTCGACTAGCTCTGAATCCTGGCGCCTCGGCCTGTTCGGGATGGGCTGAAGCGTACGACACCGACTCAAGTTGTCTAGCCCGTTCCGTGCAGGCTCCTTGGGGATGCCCTGAGTAGCGTGTGTTGTGGCAGGTTGCGGGTTTAGCGCCATCTGCTCCATCTGCTCCATCTGCGTGCAAGTGTGGTCAAAAAGCGCCGCCCCGGTGTTGGCGTTTTGTGTCGTCGTGATCTGGGAGGCAATTGGACTCGCGACCGCAGGAACTGCACGCCGTGCAACACATATAGCAATCACTCAAGATTCGAAATGGTAAACTTGACAGCTCTTACTTCACTCCATATTGGTGTACAATATGTCGGAACAGACTAAGACGCGGAACATGCGGCAGGTCAGCCGTCGGCTGGTTTGAAAGTTCTTCCCCAGCGTCTCGCAAGATCCCCCATCCCAGACCCCGGCCAGTAACGGAGAGAACAGGGATCAGGATTGAACGGATGCCACTCTGGCGGTGGCTTCCCAAAATGGCGCCACAAATCGAAGGTCCTTTGAGCCTGGTCACCATTTTGACACAAAGTCTAATAACGACGACATCTGGATTCCCTGCTGATGACGGCCAGGTCCTGCCTGAGAGACGAAGAAGGACACTATTGCAAAGCCACCAGAATGAGAAGAAATGGGTTCACAAATGACGACCCTGGGCCCCATCTGCTCTCTGCTGGTACGGGGTGTTGAGCTCTTGGGGAAGGCGCATCGCCGTTCTTGCCGATATGCATCATTTTACGTCGACTGCCCTACATATGCTTACCACTGGGTGGCTGCCCAAGTTGAGGAGACTCAACCCCCAATGTTCCATGCTCAAGTACCCAGCTACCTAGGTAGGTACGCAAATACGCGCCAGGTGCCGCGACTCCAGGCTCTTGAAAGAATTGAACAATTACGAAGTACGGAGTACTGGCAACGAAAATGCAGGCGTCGCTTGTCCCGACATGCGAAGCGTCCCGCCGCTAGTGACGCGAGGCACACGAGGTACGCTAACTCCGTGATGGCGGTCATGTCTTGGAGCTCGAGCCATTGCCGTCGCCTTCTTCCGAAGTGCCACCCATGGCGCAACCCTTCGCGCCTCTTTTAAATCACTTGTCGAGACTGGTACTAGAATCGAATCGCAGAACCAGTGTCGAACGTCGGATTTTATTGCCTTGTTCCTACCCAAGGTGAGAGTATCTAGACTGCCAGAGTCCTCACACACATCGAGGCGGCCCAGGGTTAGGGCTTCACCGCAAACCCACAGAAGTCCCCGAACCCTGGGAAATGTGGCACGCCGACACCCCTGGCCATTCACATGGAAACGCCCCCGAGGCGGGCAGCTCGGCAACTTGGTCCCGACCGACGCTAAAAGCCCATTGTTCAGCATTGAGATCCAGCTCCAAACCAGCCATGTGGCGCTCGATTCCCCATGGGGTCGGTGAGGGAACTGTCTGGGGAGTTGCTACACGGCGAACTACACAACCATGTTACTGCGAAGCTCACGACTGGAAGAAACTTCCACTGTTTCCCTATCAAGCCCTAGGCTCACCGAGTATAGGGACACCGTTCGAATCAATGTTGCTTGCATAAAATATGAGCACGGACTAGCGACCCCTACCGCTCTGCCGGCAAGGAAATGCCACGAACATCAGCCTTCTCCATTATTCAGAATTCGTAACTATATGCTGGCGAGATGGGGACGCTTTCAGGACCAGACTGATGAGCTGGGAATGATCAATTTGATTTGGACTCTGACGCAGCATCCGCGTCACGAACTTGTCCACTCCGACTCTGAGGATTTCTGATGCCAACCGTACTGATAGATCGATTTGTCAACCCAAGAAGGAAGCGACGTGAGTGTCTTCTGTTTTGTCCCATCCTTCCTTCACTGATTGGCGCAGCTACCGAGCTCGCTCAGATGGCCTAATGCGGAATCCACATCTTCATCCAAAACGTCGTCCACGTATTGAATGGCCTGCTGTATTATTTCTCACATCTCGTGAAACTACGAATACGGGCTGCGGCCTGATTTTTGTCAACGCCACATATGCCCTCCATGTTGCAAGGCTGTTCATGAAATCAGGACTAGTCTGCTTCTTCGAATACTCGCTCATTCCTCCACGACACAGGAAATCACGGACTGTTCAATGAAGAAATTTGACCAAGTCACTTGACTTGACCGCTAAAACACCCCCACATCAGGCACTATTTGCATTCATCGCTCAGATGTCGGCATCGCTTTCTGGTCATTGACCGCATGGTTGACTGAGCACATAATCCGGGTCGTGGGCCACAAACTCATGCATGTTGTACATCAAGAAATGGGAATGAGGTCGCTTCTTCACCTCGGCTGCTACTCGAAGGGTTTGGCCCATCTCTCCCGAGAAGAGCTCCATCCCGTATCTAATATGCAACGTGGCAAACTTTCTATGTCGGATGGGAGGCTTTGAAGCCTCTTTCCTTGACAGAGGAAGTTTTCCCCATTGTATATTAGATTCGGGAGAAGCTATCGCCGTTTGTCAATCGCCCCTCAACAACGCCATTACCGGGAAAACCCACAGAGAGACACGTTGGGCCACTTATTTTATTTCATTAATGATTGCGCGCGTCTCGTTGGGCTTCAAACGATTGTAGTTCGTAAGCAAGTCCTCCATCTGACATCTTGTCGTAAACTTTCTAATCTCATCGTAGGTAAACTTGTGTTTATACAGGTTTAAAACGGGATATGTCTTGGTCAATTAAATGTCTTCGAGACATGGCAGGGACGGCTGTCCAGGCAAGGCTTGATATTACCTGACCGAGATAAGTCTGAGAAAATTTCGTGGACATCTCCACTAAAGTCAACCATTCCATGGACAAAGAAACAATGCCTCACATCCCAACCGTAAAATAATACGCACTCAACGCAGTCCAATACATACTAACCCCGGAGCCTTGTTTCCCAGTCTGGACCCAGAGCGGGGGTTAAACTTCCGTTATTAATGGAGGACAAACTGGGAAGATTTCGTACATTATAGTACGAAATACCAATTCTTCGGACAACCGCACTGGTATGCCTGCGCTTCAGAAGTAATGGATCGCCAGTTTCTTTAGCCGAGTCCGCTCTTCCAGCAATGTTCTTGTATAGTCATGAACCGCCACACATTTCCTGCTAGATCCAGAAGATCTGTCGCTATGCCGTGGCTACGTGCAAAATTAGAGCTCGGTTTCACCATCCGATGTACTATCATCGTGAAACACCGATGGCAAGGTTAGTGCCGACTAGAAGGCCTCTCTATATGTCTGGACTACTGTTGTGATAAACTGGTCGACTTGCGAAGCCAATACTCCCGAGTATGAACTGCTTTTCAGCGGCATTTACTCAATTCCGTTTCAGTCAGAGCAGTGGCTGGTACACCTTTCCATACGGGATTGACTTGTTCTCCGCAAACGCGGCCGATGATTTTGATGTCATGATTCCGAACCATGGCCAGATTTCTGAAGTTCTGAGATAATTATGAGCTTCATAGTGCTCAAATTCCCGGCAATCTAGTTCAAGCTCGAAGAATGATCAACGCTCAAGCTGTACCTCTCCCGTCTTACCTTAGTCACTATTGGTGCGAGGTCAGTTAATATCTCATGTCTATGTGCAGTTACCGTGAATGAAGTTCATACTTTGGGGGGGTGGCTGCAATCTTCCTGCTATCCTCCATTGTCTTCAAGTGGCTATGAAGCTCTGGAAGCCTCGCCATCGGCCTTTATTAACGTTGACATTTGCAGAGCCTCAGGCAAGTCGTCACAAACAACCTTGCAATCGGCCGCTTAGATTGTCAGAGCAGCATGTATAGTGCCACTGGTCCTCCTATTCGGGTGGCCACAGCATGTTGCAACTTCAAACTAGAGCAACTGAGATCCCATTAAATCCTTCCTAGTCGCGGATCTCCCAATTGCTGCCTCACGAAAACAAATTGATGAATCAGCTTATTCAACCACGACCTGGAAACCGTGGTGCTCGTATGCCTTCGGCAACTCTTGCTTGGTCTCTTTGCCTGCCCGATTGGTGAACCAGCGGCATCTCACACACAGCCCTGATACAATGCAATATACACATTGTCTTTGTCCCTTGAATTTACTTCATTTACCTATTGATAATTGCATTATATTCTTGGACGAAGGTCGTCGGATACCATGCTATCTTAATTGGAACACACTTCATTTGCCGAATATACAGTATACAGTGACAGTCACCCAACAACCAAAGTTCGTTTTGCTCACCAACCTAAGCTACGATCAATGAGGGTCATATGGTCCATGTCGCCCAATAAATATGGCCTATAGATACCCAATTACTCCACAAGTGAAATGGCAAATTTCTTCTCTAGGTATCTGGTATACGCCCTGACGCATCATCTGATTAGCACCCACATGCACAGCTGGACAAGTACAAGTGCAACAACATCCCCGTACTAACACTACGGAATTTCAAATCCGCACGTTCATTTCAACTATCAGTCCACGTTGCGAGGCGACAAAACCCCTTTCTTCCAGAAGCGCACAATCCACAGAGTCGGGGGCCGGCGGCGCCGGGTCCTAAAAGCAAAAAAAAAAAAAGGAAAAATCGAAACCGAGCCCCGAAATTTCTACTTTGCCATAATGTGGAACTCGGGCTCTCAAGATCAAGATCCATTACGCATTTGTACTACGCTAAGCTCCAAGAGGAAGCCAAGACTCAGGCCGTACTCCATCGTTGTTAGTTGCCAGTGATGCAATCAAGGCCATTAATTCGCCTGAGAGTTGGGGTAAACCAACTCCCATGCCTGTTTAGTTGGTGGGTTCCTCTTAACGGCAAAAACATGATAATCAGTGACGCCCTTGACCGCGAGTTTTTTTTTTTTTTTTGGGTTGGTTTTG